CTGGGATATTCACCCACAACCATCTCTAAGGTTTACAGAGAATGGTCCAAAAAAGAAAATATCCAGTGAGTGGAAATGCCTTGTAGGTGTGAGAGGCGAATGGGCAGACTGGTTGCTGTGACATTCAGATGGTAGAGTCAGAATTTGGTGTAAACAACATGAAAGCTTGGATCCATCCTGCCTTGTATCAATGGTTCAGGCTGCTGGTGGTGGTAGTGTAATGGTGGGGGGGATATTTTCTTTGCACTAGCAAGGTGTACCAAATAAAGTGGTGCCAATTGTAGGCTTCAAATGGCTATTAAGATGCTTTTATTTTACCCAACATTTATATGTTTTTGGGGGGGTTTTTTTTTTAGGGCTTACCTGCAATGTCCGTGTGCACTGGATAATAGTGTCCACGGGTAACACCCAAAAGGCTAGAGGGAGAAGGATATTCACTGTCTCCTTAAATTGATACCCTGCCATATGAGCAATTCCCACACCATCGAGTCACTATGCACTCACAAATTGTAGTGTAGTGTGCACAGGAGTGGAGGGGGTGTCTCTTCAGAATAACTTGTTCTCATCCAGATAAACCAAAATGTGTTCTTAGTCTGGATATCACTGCACAGATACTACTGTGAGCAACTTCTCATGCTGCAGAGGATTTGCTGACTCCTGAGATTCAGTGTGTATTTGCATCCAAATGATGCTAACTTATAGAAGTTGTATGCACCAAATAGCACACATCAATGATTTACACCGACTACAACCCAGGGAATTTTATGAAAGAATGGGCAGCACCAAGAGCAAGTGTGAATGCTGCAATGCCCTTCAGTATGAATTCAGAAACAGCAGGGAGGGTAGGAGGGCAATATTAAAGAGTGGCAAAGTCAGCAACCTTGTCCTGGGGGATTACTAGCCTCAGCTGCACCATTTCCACCCCGATTATACCGTTACTAGGGCTCTGGCTCACTTTCCCCCTTCCTCTTCACCTGGGTATACCTGGCTATCCCTGGCTCAGCTCACAGGCTTTCTCCATAGACTTTAAGTGCCGGTTCACACTGCTGCGAATTCTAAGTAGATCAGATGCATTCAGAAAAGCATAGTTTTGCATGTAGTATCAAAAAGCACTATTTCCAATGAGGCCTGTTCACATATACGCAAATTTGATGTAGTTGAAAAAAGGGTCCTGTGCAAGTTTCATCTCTTTATATGCCCAGTCCCCTCAGAAATCACATTCTATTCACGCCTGTCATAGCAGAAATTGCACTGTGAAACCGCATCAGATTCCTACCACATCTGTGTGAACCGGCACTTAAGGATAAGTTCACCTTTGTAATATGTTACATGTTCCACATATTTTTAGGATGGAACATGTATAACGTTCCAGCATCTGAAGCCTCTCCCCCCCTGATCCCCTCTCTCTGTGACAGCAGGCAGAGGTATCCTCTCCCTGCTCCCGCTGTCATAGTTTTAAAATAATGTGGCCATGCGGGGCTCCACTAGGGTTGCTACCTCATCCCTTTAAAAAACACATTAATTACACAGGTTCTGTGGCTGATTAAGGTGGTAATTAAACTCACCTAATGTCTTATCTACAGTAAATTAGCCTCTTAACTTGTGTAAATAATATGTGTTCGGTTTTAAAGGGATGAGGTGGCAATCCTAGGCTCCACCCACATGGTCATGTTATCCATTCACTGGTTCCTGAAATGGCGCTGGTGAGCACTCTCGTAGTCCACTGACCTTCCTATTCGCAGGTATCCTGAGAGTCTGCAGGAGCCTGAGATTGCACCTATAATCTGCTGGTCGCAGGTGCAATGCTCTGCAGGCTCTGTAGAAAAGAAAATAATGCACATTTTCTTTACCTGCAAAAATTGGGCATTTATTTATTTATTTTTCTTAAGGTGAACTTATCCTTTAAAACAGACACCCAGCTAGTCTCCACCCTTCTCCCTTGGAAACGTTTCTCTCCCGACTCAACATCCCTGACCATACAATTTCTTGGTTGTATGTCATATGTTGAGAGAGGGGATCTCTTCTAGATATTTGCTGGAGTTGCCACCTGATTGTGCCATCTTGGCAAAAAGTATTTACCTCCTACAATTCTATGTATATCACTGACATTCTCCTAAGGTTGCCCTTTTGATGATGATCCCTGGGTCCTTCTCTAAAATTAAAAAAGGCATCTTGGAGCATTGCCTTGGCTGTTGGCTGCTTGGGTTGCCATCTCTCGCCATTGGAAAACTACTTCTCTACATCTTTTGGAGTGGGCCCAAATACTCAACAACATCATGGCAATGGAGACCCTGATAGCAGAGGACAGCACTGACTCAGAAAGAAAACGTACGCATTACAAGGGCCTGTTGGCAGGCATACAGTGACTTAGATAATTTCTGAGCCTTAGTCACACAGTGAACTAGACATATCCCCATAGATTATTTTGTTCTTAAAGCGTTTCCTGGAACTCATAGGGTCCTCAGACAATTCTCTGGTTCCAGAAACACGGTAGACCCTCTACCCCCTTTACGTCTAAATATACCACTTCCCTTGTTTTCCACCCAGTTCTATTCCCTAAACTGAAATAGCACAGGCGGGCGGGCGTGCATGCACGCCCCCTACCCGAAATGCAGTATCACGCATATACACTGTGTGCACAATTTTTAGGCGAATGAGTTTTTGGACCAAATCATTCTTTTTATGCATATTGTCCAATTCCAAGCTGTATAACTGTGAATGCTTATTGGATTTAAGCATATCAGGTGATATGTATTTGTGTAATGAGGGAGGGTGTGGTCTAAGTGGATCAACACCCTATACCAAGGTATGCATAATTATTAGGCAGCCTCTTTTCCACAGACAAAATAGGCCAAAAAAGAGATTTAAAGGATAAGTTCACCTTTAGAACATATTACATGTTCCACCTATTTTTAGGGCACCCAGCGATCGCCAAGTATCACCAACGGGGGTGAGACCTGTGCATAAACAACACAGATCTCTCCCCTGTCAGCTTCTGCACACTGCTTTGTATGGCTCTGCATAGCAGAGCCATACAAAGCAGTGTGCTTACAGTGTAAAGCACACACACAGCACACAGTTAACCCTTTGATCGCCCCACATGTTAACCCCTTCCTGCCCAGTGCCATTGGTACAGTGTCAGTGCTTTTTATTTAGCATTGATCACTGTATTGCTGTCACTGGGGATGTCAGTGACACCAAGTCAATTCCCCCCCAATGTCAGAATGCCCGCTGCAGTCCTGCTATAAGTTGCTGATCATTACTAGTAAAAAAAAAATTCCAGTATATATATCGCCATTTGTAAATGCTATACCTTTCACGTAAACCAATTAATTTACACATATTGGATTTTTTAGCAAAGACATGTAGCAGAATACATTTTGGCCTAAATTTATAGCAAAATTTGATTTTTTACATTTTTTACTGGACATGTTTAATAGCAAAAAGTCAAAAAATATAGTTTTTTTTTCAAACTTGTTGGTATTTTTTGTTTATAGCGCAAAAAATAATAAAAACTGCACAGGCAATAAAATACCACCAAAAGAAAGCTCCATTTGTGGGAAAAAAAAGGACATAAATTTCATTTGGGTGCAGCGTTGCATGATCACGCAATTGTCAGTTAAAGTAACGCAGCGTCGTATCACAAAAAATGGCCTGGTCAGGAAGGGGTAAATCCTCTGGAGGGCAAGTGGTTAACTGACTCTAAAAAAGTTAAAAAAAAATTATAAAGTCTTTCAGAGGGATACAGCACTTGAAATTGCTAAGATTTTGGGATATGATCACAGAACCATCAGACGTTTTAGTGCAAATAGTCAACAGGGTCACAAGAAATGTGTTGAGGAAAAAAAGGCACAAATTTACTGCCAAAGATTTGAGAAGAATCAAATGTGAAGCTACCAGGAACCCTTCATCCTCCAGTGCTGTCATATTCCACAACTGCAACCTACCTGGAGTAACCAGAAGTACAAGGTGTTTAGCACTCAGAGAGATGGACAAGGTAAGGAGGGCTGAAAACCACTACTGAACAAGACACATAAGTTGAAACATCAAGACTGGGCCAAGAAATATCTGAAGACAGATATTTGTCCACCACTCTTGTTGGGTACATTTGGGTACATTTGTGGCTGTCCCACTGATATTAAACGATCTTGTTTTTATTTTGTTTGTTTTTTTGAGGGGGGGTGTTTATTTTGATAATTTTTTTTTGTCTGAACATAGGTCTATGCTTGTCCCAAGCATATTTGAAGCTATTTACTGTTGACTGGCTCACTGCCTTTGCTGAAAATTTGTTCCAAGCATCAACTACATCACTACTTTTTTGTATTGGTTGAGCCAGTTGCTCTTTTTTCTTTCCTCTGCTTGCTCCTGACAGACTTTCTGTGCCAATGATGGAATGTGACCACTGGATGGTGCCATCCCACTGAATACTTTTTTTTGTTCCACTTAGCATCCTACTATTGTAGATGGCACTATAACCCACTGGTTATGATTGATCTTCAATAAAGGCTGTGTCTCTCAGTGAACTCCAAAGAATTGTACAGTGAGTACAAAAGCTATCTATATTTGGATGAAACATCTGTTGCATACAGAGCATTGGCCTTTACAGATGAGGGTCACTCTATCTCCTTATGTTAAATATATTGGCCATCTGTAATAACAACAGAGTGCCACAGTGATATAAAAAAGCAGACATCTGTAAAGTTAGTTGACAGTAATATTTTTATTACTCAAGCTTGCCTACAATTTTTTTTACAGTCATATCCAGGTGTGTTACATACATTTATTGTCATTTATGAATTACATAGCAATAGTTTTAAACTAACTAATTTGCTCTTGACCTATTTTCCTGATGTAAATTAATGAATGACACAACAGATCACATACTAAGATGCTTATATTCCTTTCATTGCCAAAAGTATTAGGACACCCCTCCAAATCATTAGATTCAGGTGTTCCAATCACCTCCATGACCACAGGTATATAAATTTAAGCACCTAAGCATGCAGACTGATTCTACAAACATTTGTGAAAGAATGGGTCCCTCTCAGGAGCTCACTGAATTCAAGCGTGGTACCGTGATAGGTTGCCACCTGTGCAATAGGTCCATCTGTGAAATTTCCTTGCTACTAAATATTCCACGGTCAACTGTTAGTGGTGTTATAACAAAGTGGAAGGAACTGGGAACAACAGAAACCCAGCCACGAAGTGGTAGGCCAGGTAAAATCAGAGCAGGGTCAGCGCATGCTGAAGTGCACAGTGCGCAGAAGTCTCCAACTGTCTGCAGAGTCAATAAAGACCTCCAAACTTTGTGTGACCTTCAGACTAGACAACAGTGCGTAGAGAGCTTCATGGAATGGGTTTCCATGGCCGAGCAGCTGCATCCAAGCCTTACATCACCATGGAACAACAGCAACTCAGCCACGAAGTGGCAGGACACGTAAAATGACGTGCAGGGTCAGTGCATGCTGAAGCGCACAATGCACAGAAGTCAACAACTGTCTGCAGAGTCAATAGCTAAAGATCACCAAACTTCATGTGGCCTTCAGATTAGCACAACACCAGTGCGTAGAGAGCTTCATGGAAGGGATTTGCATGGCCGAGCAGCTGCATCCAAGCCTTACATCACCAAGTGCAATGCAAAGTGTTGGATACAGTGGTGTAAAGCACACCGCCACTGGACTCTAGAGCAGTGGAGACGTGTTTTGTGGAGTGAGAAATCACGCTTCTCTGTCTGGCAATCCAATGGATGTGTCTGGGTTTGGAGATTGCCAGGAGAACAACATACTTGCCTGATTGCAATGTGCCAAGTGTAAAGTTTGGTGGAGGGGGGATTATGGTGTGGGGTTGTTTTTCAAAAGCTGCGCTTGGCCCTTTAGTTCCAGTGAAATGAACTCTTAAGGCATCAGCATACCAAGACATTTTGGACAATGTCATGCTCCCAACTTTGTGGGAACAGTTTGGGAATGGCCCTTTCCTGTTCCAACTTGATTGCACACCAGTACATAAAGCAAAGTCCATAAAGACATGGATGAGAGAGTTTTGGGTGGAGGAACTTGACTGGCCTTCACAGAGTTCTAACCTCAACCCGATAGAACACCTTTGGGATGAATTACAGCGGAGACTGCAAGTCAGGCCTTCTCGTCCAACATCAGTGCCTGACCTCACAATGCGCTTCTGGAAGAATGGTCAAAAATTCCCATACACACACTCCTAAACCTTGTGGACAGCCTTCCCAGAAAAGTTGAAGCTGTTATAGCTGCAAAGGGTGGGCCAACTAAAACTTGGGATGCCATTAAATTTCATGTGCGTGTAAAGGCAGGCGTCCCTATACTTTTGGCAATATATTGTAGCTAGGATGTGTCACATAGATGTGCTAGTAAAAAGTGACTCCTCTAACTCTGACTGCCACAAAATCTGATAAGTCATGGCAGTGAAAGGTTCTGAAGTACCATCTTTGTATACTGTCACAAAAGGGGGCTAGTTTCAACACTTGGAATGCTTATTTAGACAACCATAGTGCCAAGAAAAAGTACTGGAAAGAGGAGGGTTGTGTTACTTACCTGTTTCTCCAAGCATGTATGCAGGTGCTTACTGAAGTACTACTGTGTGGGTTATGTTCATTATTTCCTGAGTTAAGTGTTTTTTTTTCTGCTGGGTAAGTTGCACTGTTTATTTACCGTTGCCCAGCAGGAATGGTGCTGTCTGGTAGGCAAGGGTTGCCCTCTGCTGAACAAAGCATATAAAAAGGGTACTCTATCTTGGTCAGGGTCTTGTCTTTGCTCTGTCTGCATGGTAAGAGAAGGAGATTGCTGCTGAGCATGTAATTGCCACATTGTCACCATTACCACCCCTTGCTGGAGCCGATTCGGGGTTCCATTTGATATGGACTTTGCTGGCAAATGGACTATTGGCCTTTCTCACTTACTGTATGTAATGGGGCATAACAAGGACACACAAAAAGGGCACTTAGAGGACTTTGTACCGGAATGTGTATGGAAGGCGTTTCTGAGAACTGGTCACTGTCACATTTAACTACTTCAGAAAAATAACTTTGTTGTTAATTCACTCTGCCTGATCTGCAGTCAATAAAGGGGTGCATGCATGGTGTAGCAAAGAACAGGGCTTAGAAGGGCAATAAAGAGAAATAAGTGCGGACACATTATAAGGTTCCAACCTGCAGTGGAAGGAGAAGAAGCTACTTTGCCATTGCTAGAGGCAACCGGAATAATGATGGGTGCTTTAACAGCCAACCAGCAAAAGTCTTGGTGACATGACCTGGGTGACAGAGGGCCCTGCTAGTGAGGAGGTTTCAAAGCTTAGCCCCCTTCCTAACAACTGGTACCGCACATACAGGGACAAATATCATGGCACAGGGTATAACCAGGGGTATATTTACCACAAGGCAAACAAGGCATTTGCCTAGGGCAGCATTTTTTACGGGGGCAGTACTGCCCCATGGAAAAAGGGACATATGTAGCATGGGAACCAGGTGGGATCAGAGAGAGGCTGTGGACTATTTGATGGTGTTTGCAGAGCCCGACTGGCGTTCCTGGGGATGGCCTGAGATGTGAAGGCGAGTGTCTTTCTCTCTGTCGCTGGGGGGTGGGTGTTAATGGAAGGCTCTCGGGTGGGGGGGGGGTAGAGCAGGGGTGTTATTGGTCACTGTCAGGCTCTAGCCGCGGGAGGGGTGCATCCGGTGTTGGTCGGTGTTCTGCTCTCTCCACTGTGGAGGGGGGGGGGGGGGGGCGTCCGAATTTTGTGTTGCCTAGGGCAGCACAAAGCCTAAATACACCACTGGGTATGACATGTAGCTAGCCAGGAGTATCATGGAAGAAAAGTAGTGAGAGACCTTGGGAATAGAGTAGCCCAGAAACCTGTGAAGGGATGATCCCTATGTGTAAGGGAGAAGTCTCATAATGTCAATGAGAGTGAGGTGACATGCCGGGCTATGCTGGTGGAGTGTGGTATTCGTTGTACCCACTTGGAATTGCTGCATCCATTAGGAGAAATGAAACATACACAAAGGGTTAGCTGTGCAAGTAGAGCATGCTCTAGCGAGTCCCCAGCTCCGGTGCCGTAAGCCCCACCCACAAACAAGTAGGTGCCTCTCCCCTCCTTTTGGTGAGGATTCAATATGATAGCAGGTATGATATGGATAAAAGTCAAAAGTGAGCCTGTTACAGGAAATGTGGGAGCTGCCTATGGTGAACTCTTTCTAAAAATGCTACCTGTTTTTCTAAGCAACTGGCCACCTCTACCTCCAACAAGCTCTTCTTTTTAAAAAAAGCTTTATTCTTAATTTAGCGTACTAATTACTAAAGGCAAATACGTTCCTGTTAGCTTCTGGTTAAGTAATGAAGGGGATAACTATTGAACAAACTTGGCTCTGATTGCAACCTTTCAGATTGCTTTTGACATTGCTCAACGTAGAGGTGAAACCATAACCTTGTGTCCCGGAACATGGCGTCAGGCTAGTACAGTTGCCTGACATTCACTGGCTTCCACACTATAAATATGATGAAAGTGACAATTCAAACTTGTTTATACATATGCCCTTTAGTGTATTTTGTTTTATTACTGCCCATTTTTTACTAACTTTTTAACAAGTAGTGTGATGCAAACAAAATCAAGAATACAATTCTTTACTGTTGTACTGCTGTTTAGAACATATGGTTTGGGGCAGGGCTTTTTTCAGTGGGAATGTGGAGGAACACCGTTCCGGAGCGTCCAGCACTGAATGTATGTAATGGCAAGGGGTGCTGGAGGTTCTATGGATGCTGGCTGCTGGGGTATCTGTTGTTGGAGGGGATCTGTTTTTGCATATGGATGTATTGTTGCTGGAGTCTATAGTTTCTGGTGGTGAATCTATTGTTGCTAGGGGTGTCTTATGTTTCTAGGGGGTCATTTGTTGTTGGGAGGGATCTGTTGTTGAGGGAGGGCTCTATTGTTTCTGGCTGCTGGAGGGTTTATTGAAGTTAGCTGCTGGGAAATCTCTGGTTGCTGCTGAAGGTTAATATTGTTGGGGTGTCTCTATTGTTGTTGGGGTGGACCTATTGTTGCTAGGAGGGATCTACTGTTGAAGGAGGGGTCTGTTGTTGCTGGCTGCTAGGAAATCTGTTGTTGCTGCTGGGGGTTATTATTGTTGGGGTGGATCTATTGTTGTTGGGTGGATTTATTGTTGCTGGGAGGGATCTACTGTTGAGGGAGGTTCTATTGTTGTGGTTGCTGGATGGTTTAATGTTGGCTGCTGGGAAATCAGTTGTTGTTGATGGGTTATTGTTGTTGGGGTGGATTTCTACTGTTGTGGGGGGGTGTCCATGTTGCTGGGGGGGTCTATTGTTGCTAGCTGCAGGGGATCTATTTCACTGCTTTGCTCGTTATCAATAACATATTCCATATAAATTGCTTAGCACCATAAAATGACACTTGGTTCTGTATTCTCTAAAAGGGGCAGTACTGGGAGGTGTGTAGAGGGTGGAACCTAGGGATGGTGCTCGGAGGTTGGTAGGGGGCAGAACCTAGGGATGGTGCTCGGAGGTTGGTAGGGGCTGGAACCTAGGGATGGTGCTCGGAGGTTGGTGGGGGCTGGAACCTAGGGATGGTGCTTGGAGGTTGGTGGGGGGTGGAACCTAGGGATGGTGCTCGGAAATTGGTGGGGGGTGGAACCTAGGGATGGTGCTTGGAAGTTGGTGGGGGGCGGAACCTAGGGATGGTGCTCGGAGGTTGGTGGGTGGCGGAACCTAGGGATGGTACTCGGAGTTGGTAGGGGGCGGAACCTAGGGATGGTGCTCGGAGGTTGGTAGGGGGCGGAACCTAGGGATGGTGCTCGGAGGTTGGTATGGGCTGGAACCTAGGGATGGTGCTCGGAATTTGGTAGGGGGCGGAACCTAGGGATGGTGCTCGGAGGTTGGTAGGGGGCAGAGACAAGAATGAATCAGAAAGGGGGAGTTTCTGCACCTATTCTCTGAGAAAAAAAGCCCTGATTTGGGTTTGGGGTAAGGTCATCCGTGAATTTTCACATGTGCTTTACACTGTGCATGTGAAAAATGTATGCAAATTCCCCATCAGCAAAAGGATTATAATGAGCAACTTGAATTGTGTACTACTTATGTAAACTAAACAGATTAGTTGTAGTTCAATGTACATAAAGTCATTATTACATTTATTATATACTGTGGTTTGTGAGTCATAAAACATGAATCATTTGAGAATTGAGATCTGTGCCAAATGGGTGTAAAGCCACTGATACTGATACAGGTTGCAGCTGTCTGGCTTTTTCTTTGTGAATAAGTAGGCTATGACAAAAGTGCTAGTCTGACACCTATGTGCTTGATGAAGAACTGCACTTCCCAAAAATAATATGTGACTACTGCCTGTTATGTGACTACAGATGATAAATGCATGTGCAGGTTTTGTGTTTGAAAACAACAGAAACAGCAAAACATAGTTCTTTTCAGGTTAACTGAAAGCAACAACACATAACTGTGCTCCAGACAGTTTTGGCAGTCAAGAAATAAGAGAAAAAAAATCTATGTCTACAGCTGTTGTATTATACCAATATTTATGGTACTTATATAGCGCCGTCAATTTACGCAGCGCT